AACCACTGGAAATAAGTACTATCGCCATGCAGGGCGTGGGTCAGGTGCCTTGCTGGGGATGAGAAGGTCTTCGTATGAATAGACCAGTCCTCCATCTATGCGGGCATAGGTGGTGTTCTTAGCGCTTGCAGGCTTAGTTATATAGGGAAAGGTCATGGGTTGCTCGCCTATGGTGGTTGCTCGGTTGAATAACATATTGGAACGGGCGGCAGCAGCAGCAGGTGATCGATGTGAGCAGTACCATGAGGGTATCCTGAAGGGTGGAGGACTCTATGAAAAGTACGACTACTGTGTAGATAAGACTATCGACAACTACGAATAGTTGACGGAGTTATGGGATAAGCTGTTGGCTATGTGAGGAGTGGGTTGGCAGAAACGAACCTCTGTCGGAATGTAATCAATGTAGGACGACATGATATATGCCTAGTCGTATTCACAGGCTATCACTCTCAGCGTTGAACCCTAGTCATTAACGTTTGTCCCCCAACACGGATATATTCGCATCACAACTATTCGCTCATACTTTCGCTAAGGCTAGAAAGTAGTTGCGTTTGGTCAAGTACTAGGGAGTTCACTAGAAGGGTATGGTTTTTGGGAGGTTTTCATTATGACGCCGACCATGACGCCGAGCATGACGCCTCTGGGTCCTACAAGTGGTATGAGATCATCATCACCATCGTTCGTGGTGTTCTTAGCACTGGGGGTAGCTCTAACAATGGTCATAGTATACGCGTATGTATATGCCAGTGATGGGAGGTTATGATGAGGAGTAAGTTCAGGTATAGAGAGTATCAGAGGAGGATGTCAATACGCCGGCTTGCACGGCTAAGGGAGGATGTAATGCTCGAAGTTAGAGCCCATATGGTTGATGAAGCTGATCCCAATAGCCGTAGTTTCCCAGGGGCTCGACCACAGGAAATAGAGCTCTTGAGCCGAGATGGAGGTAGTGGGTATATGAAGTATTACAGATGTCATTATGGTGGCCAGGTGATACTGTGATGAATGGTCCTAGGCAATACGGAGGGACGTCTATGCGGTTTTAGAACCTCATCATTCATCCGTGTAATTTTTGAAGTTCCTTTGAGGACCTGGGCTTGTTGGCGTTGTTTAATATGCAGAGGATGGTGACTGCTTTATAATGACTGCTCTCCCATGTGGTCTACTGCGGGTGTCACCACTCTGTTTCGCTGGTAGACTTCACAGAGGCGCGGCGGCGGCTGCCTCATCACAAGGAGGCATAACACAGTTCTGGAAGGGGGGCCATCTGGACCCAGACCTAGCATGGGGGGATAAGGAAAAGAACTGCAAGACGGGTGATGCTTGGCCTGCATGCTTACTGAGGTTAAAGTCATTTGAAGATCTCCATAAATTATGGTAATATTGGGGCTAGACCGGGAGGAGGATCATGATACAGTAGGTATATATGTTTGAAGGAGAAAAACTTCCTCATGTCTGAGAGGGCCTTCGCGAGGGCCCATAGAACTGAGTGGAGTTATCATGGTCGGCTCAAGAAAGTAATATTCGGGGATGTGGAGAGCCAGTGATGGTAAGGACAGGTTAAAATGACTATGAAGAGGATACTCACTGTATTGTCGAGGAGGGAAATACATCAGCAGACCATACGGGCTAAGGAGATTAGGTAGTGCAAGGAGGGGGATGATGATGGTATCAGTCTTGGTATTAGGGATAAACAGCAGCTGAGGGAGGAGTTGGAGACTAGACGCTTTCATATCGAGGAGCAGATACTCAAGTTGAAGTGAGGGGCGTACCTCTACTGGGTGATAGTACTATTAATAGGCATCGCATAGAGCGTATGGGAAAGGATAAGGAATCCCTTATGAAGAACGCTTGGGAGACTTCTCTGAGAAAGTAGTACCATACCCTTTGGTGTTGCTGCTCACGTCGTATCATAGGTATGAACAGGATCACAGTGAGCTTCTTATGGAGTTGAGGCCTCTACGTAAAGACACTATGCAAATGTTAGTGCCGAACTGGCGTTACTCTACGAAGTAGTAGTAGTATTATCAGTCCGATGCTAGTGATGATGATGATGTAGGTACTCGGACATACCGGGTAATTTGACTTGGAGACGCCAATGGGTGAGGGCGTTGGAGGATGCCAAGAAGAACTTTGCTAGGTATCACTGATCATCATCACCTTACACATGATAACGTTTCCGTACATAATACCAACGATTATGTTGTGTACATATAACGGGTCTTCCCTAAATCGGTTATTATCAGCCAAGTTATTCTCGATAGGCCGACAGGATTTCCTCCTGTCGAGAGCCGTGGCGCTCTGTTCTGTAAGTTTATCGTTTAAAATGCCGTGTTTTCAGCGAATGGAAACGTTTTACAACGAAAAAGGTTTCCG